CCGCTAGGTATATCATGTATTGCTTTCCCTTTTCTCTCTTTCTCTCTGTTCGACCTGCGATTATCAGATTCTCTGAGCTCTTCTTTCTCATTACCTGTCCCATAAATTTCAATTGCCTCTTCTTGATGTTAAATATAAGCTTCCTCCTTGTTTGCATCCTCTCCAAAACCTCATCTTTGCTTACACGCTCGGTCCATTATATCCTTAACATCCTTCTGTAGAACAATACCTCCGCTGCCTTGAGCCTCTTCTTTATCTTTGTGGAGACTGTCCAACATTCACTGAGTAGCAGTTCTGTACACCTTTCTTTGTTGCCAAAGAAATCTTCCTGTCTCGTAATACTGTGCCCAGCTTTTGAAATGCTTCTTTGGCCATCCCAATACGTCTTCGGTTTTCAGCTTCGCACTTACCATCCTCTGTAAAACCACTTCCCAGATATTTAAAGTTCCGTACATACTTAATTTAATGTCCCCAACCTGTAATCGCATTTCGGGCTCACCATTTTACTGATGAACATGCATTCTGTTTTCTTATAGTTTATGCTTAGTCCTTTCTTTTTGCTGTCCGTCGCTACCTTCTGTAGGAGGTTTTGTAATTTATTTTCCGTGTTTCTTATGAGTAATGTGTCATCTGCGTATCTTACGACACTATTCATCTTAAAATAAACAATATGGAAATATGGAATTTTTAAAAATCAAATTAGAATGAATACAGGGCGAATTAACTTCGCTAAACAAGTTGATCTTCGTAGCCTGATTTGTTGGGCGTTGCTCATGTCAGACAATCTTCCAAGTGTATTAGTTTAAGTTATATCAGACATTATTTCTGCTTGGTATGCATCGTAGTATGTAAAACTACTCGATAGTTACGATAAAGAATTAGCATTAATAAGATGAAAGATAAAACAGTAAAAAATGTTTTAAGATTTGAAGACAAAGGAAGAAAGATTAAAACATATCCCAATTGTTCTATAAAGTACGTCAAGATTTTTTGTCGCTAACTGTTTTTGTACAATTGTATGTTATTTTACTTCCAGATGTTTGTGTTTCTTTTGACAATGGCGGGTTTTTTCAATATATTTTACTAAGCGAGAGTTTAAAAGACCAAATCCGTGAAAGATTAAAGTAAAAGTATAATAAATGATAAATGTATTTAAATTACCTTTAGTTTTGTTGGTTTTTGTAAATTACTAATTATTTTAGAAAGTTCATTAAAACCCGAATACTCCATATCAGCATCAAAGTTATGGCCCTTTGTGATCGCAGGGTCGCAGTGAAGATAAGGACAGGATCAACTCTTTCTATATGTGTCGGCTACGTGTCAGTGTTTAGATCTCTCTGAAAGGTTTTTCGGTAACAGTGAAAAATGTGAAAGTCGGATAGGGATCTAGTTATGTGTAGTGTGTAGACTTGGCGGTAGCTACCTTTTCAAGATAAAACAAACGTATATAAAAACGTTTAAAAGAATATCCTAAATGTTTAATTTAAAATAAATGAAAACCGTAAAAGCAATATTTACAGCACGATTAAAATGAAAGAAAACAAAACTAGAAACATGTTCTGCAACCTTTTGGAAGTTATCACACTAAAGGATATTCTGTAATCATTCCCACTCTGTTTTTCATCGCCTACTGATCCTCATATCTCGGTTAATTTGCAGTTTAGCACCTGCGCTCAATTCGCATTAAAAATGTCCATAATGCTTACATTAAGGTGCAAATGCACATGTTTCATTCGAATCTGGCTTGATAAATTTGACAAAATGTACCGTTTTAGAGTTATCGATAGTAAAAGTTCGGATTCATGTGTGTCGCGACCACCATTACAGGCGTTATTTGCATACATTCACTGCGGAATAGTTATGAGTATTATTCACTTCTCTTGATTATTGCGCACGCAATGCACAATTGAGCGTGTGTACGCAAATAGTTCTGCGCAGTAACTGAGATCAGTAAAAACAAGCCCTTTAACTACATTCTTTCGCGTTTAGCTTTCTGCAGTGAATGTATGCAAACAAGGCCAGTAATGGTTGCCACCAACGACGCGAATGAATCCAAAATGTTGTTGTTGATAACTCCAAAACGGTAGATTTTTTCAAATTTATTAAGCCAGATTCGAATGAAGCATGTACATTTACACCTAAATGTAAATATCTGAAATCCATTAATATATATTTCATCTGTCTCTCCTTTGCTTGATATGATATTCATCCTTCGGTCGACGCTGACCCACCTTTACCCAAAGCCTGTGACTGACACAATCGACACGCCCGAGTAAGCCTAAATGAAACAACAACAAACGGTCGAAATATCTTTGTCCATTTTATCTGGCAGATGTTTTATTTAGAACTCGGCTTCGTTTAATTCGGACTGAAATTCATTTCCTAGAGGGTTAATCAGTTCTTAAAACGCATCTTTACTACTGTAGCAATTTCCTACTTTGACGATTACATAACACTTTCTACGCGTTATCTCCCCTGTTTGAAATTCATTCGCTCTCATCATGTCCATTAATGTTTTTACCATATTATATGTAGTGGGTATTATTATTATTACTATTAGTAGTAGTAGTAGTAGTAGTACTACTACTACTAGTAGTAGTATTCCTCTTTGTAAATTGCTTAACTCGATGAATTATATGGAAAAATTCAATGCTGTTGTAAATTATTTTATTTTGTGTCATTTCAGGTTGAACTTATCTCTCCAAACTTCCTTTATTTTTTTCAGTAATATTTCAGCCTTTACCAAACATTTTTCTCTTGTACTGTCTTGACTTAACAGAAATCTTTAAGTAGTTTACACTCTGTTTCCCATAATTTTCCTTGCCTTCATTATGTCCTGTGAGTGTTAGGTTCTGCAGGCCATCTTTTCTCATTATATGCCTTTGATATTTCAACTGTCCCTTTTCCATTGAAATATCAGATCCTTGTAGTTCCAAGTTTTCATGAAATGTTCTCGTTTCACCATGATTCTAATTTACCAATGTTTGATCAATTAGCCGTCATAACTGTATAAAATCAATTAATGCGATTGTTTTCTTCGTTTTCTACGGCTTATCAACCCTTTTCAGGTTATTTAAAGCCAGAAAATATGTTTTAATTGTAAGAATATTGAAATATATTAATAATTTACTGTTACAAGTCTTGTTAATTAATCCATAGCTGGAGGAAGAAGAGGTTGATCCATACTATTCGCAAGGGTATTTTGCGTGTAAGTTAATATAAAAACCGAACAGAGATTCGAACTCGGCTCTCCGATTAACAATAATCTTAAAGAAGCCGATTCTTCACCAGGTCTTATAAAAATATCACAAAGGTCTTTACCAAACAACAAATACAACATCTACTGAACACATCCAATAACAACAATAACAAAAATATTTAGCACATGAAACTAGAAATCAAAAATCATGATATAATCAAGATGTTAATTTTCCATACAAACATCAACGATTTTTTTTCAAAGAAACCCACAACACAACTAGAATGATAGCAGTTATTTGATTTGAGGAGTTTGGCTCGGTTTGTTTAGTTTTATGGCATGGGTTATTTAATGCCAACAAGATTTTTATTACTGGTGGTATTTTTTTTTTCAAAAAATGTATTGCTGTTAATATTTTTCCTTCAAAAATGTATTGCTTGTATTTTTTTTCAAAAATACCCTGCTGGTAATAATGTATAGCTGGTAATCACTTTTTTCTCCAAAAATTCGTTGCTGGTATTTTTTTTTTTTTTTTTACAAAAACGTACTGATAATATTAAAATCTATTTTTCCCTTTCATAGTGTTTGGACCCCAGTTTGGTGGGATCAATTATTTTACCATAGTTGGGGCCTTATCAGGTGCTGCCACCCCGGGTCAGGACGGACCTGAAAACATCAGCAATTAAGAGGTTGTTCCACGCTCCTCAAAACCTACTGATCAGAGGTCTTGCTGTTGGATGTAGCTGATCATCTAACCCAGGACGCCTCATTTGGGGGTCTTACCCATCTGCAGATTTTCAGTCGGCATATTCTGAAGCCCCAGCCGTCAGCGCTGAGGGGTTTAATTGCTTGAAAAACTTATTCTAAAAATTTCAATCGACATAAACTTTTAACTGTTAAGTCACAGAATATCTAAGATATCCTGTATGAAATCGGTTAATTTCACCATTACCATTAGTCAACGTATTTGTACATTTTCTACTGGTGATCAGATAATAAAAAAACATAAAACGAAGACGGAAACAATTATATGTAAAATAAAAAAGGAGTAGAGAATCAGATACGGTTGGACGTATGTCTAAGTAAATATGACAGAAAAAATGAACGATAATGAAAAAGAATAATGAAAGAGAAAAAAACAGAAAGGAAGAAAGAATTGATAAAGATTAAAGAAAGAAGAAAATATCTGACACAAGAAGAGGGCAACAAAAGAAATAAAGGAAGCAAAATAGAAAGAAAGCAGAAAAGAAAGAAGTAAAGTGAAAGAGAAAGACAAGGGATTCACAAAATTAGAAACAGTAAACAAAACAGTGATGATTTATAAACAAAAATTTTTGCCTATATTTTTTTTTTGTTTTTATGTTTTATATTTTAGTCTATCCATCTCTTTTTCTCTGTTACAATTGTGTTTCCCATTCTTTTATCCACTTTGTTGATGTTCTTACTTCTTGTCTTCTGCAGGTGGCGGCATTGGCCATAAAGACGACGAAGAGCTAAACAAGTCGTTCCTTACTCCATTGGCTGCATTCGCGCCGTCTGCCATTAATCCAGGATGTGTATCCTTAGGCAATACGTTTGGGAATTTTTTCGTAATTACCTCCCATTTGCCAGAGGTTGTTGTAGCAGAGGGCGTACCCCGACAATAGGTATTGTGTGTATAAGGGGAAAAAATCAAGTTTGGGGCAGGCGGGGAGATGGTGAAAACTGATGGGTGGGTGTTGTAGATAGCAATATTAAGGCTCCTAACCAAAGAGGAGAACGTGTCCCAATGGTTCAAGAAAATGGATTTAAATAGAGGAAATTAAACAAACGGAAAGAGAAAAAATTGTAAAAGAAGCAAATTAACTGAAAATAAAGAAAATACGACGAGAATGTTAGAAAAATAAAGGTGGATAAAAATGAACATAAATGATTTGGAATGCCAAGAAAAAGATACAAGAAAATTTAGAGTGTAAAAAAAATGGAAAAATGTAATTAAGTTGTAAGAATGAAAACAGATAGATAGATAGATAGATAGATAGATAGATAGATAGATAGATAGATAGATAGAAGAAAAATTAAGGGAGATAGAGAGGACAATTTTAAAGGAAGAAATCAAGAAAGAAATAAAGAAGGAAATGATATTTAGCTAAAGAAAGAAGGAAAGAAAGTGTACCAAGTAAAAAAAATGAGAAATGTAACATTTAAGAAAGAGAAATAGCTAGAAAAAAAATACAAAATTGGAACTAGCTAAAGGAAGAAAAAGCGAACAAGAAAAAACGAACGAAAGAAAGAAAGAAAAATAACAGAAAGACAGAAAGATAACTAGCTAAAAGAAGAAAGTAAAATGCAACAAAATAAATAAAAGATTGAAGGGACAATGAAATGAAGAAAATGAAACGGGCAATAAAAAAGCGAAAGAATAAAAATATAAATAATGAAAATGAACGAGTGAGTAAAGAAGGATAAATAAAGAGAATGAATGAAAAATAAAAAGAAATTAAAATTGGAAAGAAATGAGATGGAAAAGAAAGCGGTCTAAATAATAATAAAAAAATAAAAATAAAATAGAAAACAATAAAATACAAAGGAAAAAAGAAATATGAAAACGAGAATGCGAACAAGAAGGAATGAATGAAATGAGTTGACTGAGCAAGAAAGTAACAGAGAAAAAAAAGGAAAAAGAAAATACAGACAATAATAAAAAGAAGAATGAAAAGAAAATAGATAAATGAAAGAAAAAGAAAAGAAGAAACTTAGATGAAAATAAAGAAGTTAAATTTAACAAGGAAAGAAGTAGACGCCATTGAAGATAGAAAAGGTAAGAATGAAAAAAGAAAGGGAAGGAGGAATGAAGTCAAAAAGAAAGAGTTAAGTAGAAAATTACTGATGTAATGAATGAAAAGTAATGATGGTAAAGTTTCAACGAAAAGAAGTGAATACTCCTGTCGGCTAAATCAAGTCAAATAAAATGAATCATGGATGATGCTTAGATCTATTTAATACTGTAGCTTACCATACAGTGTAACCTTATTATAGCCTTGTTTCTAAGTAAAGGACAAAATAAGTGAATGGATGAAATATAAAACAAAATACATCTAAATAGATAGAAAAATACATATACATTGATGAGAAGGCTAAAGAAGATTAAGAAAAAGAGAATAAAGAAAAGAAGATGAACGGAAGGAATTGTCTAGAAAGAAACATGAAAAAAACGAGATTGTAAATGGAAGGAAAGGAGAAATAGAAGATAAAAATGAATGATTTTGAAATGAATGATTTATAGAAATGAAGAAAATTGAATCATTAAAGTTTATAAAATGAAGGAAAGAAGAAGAGATAAAAAAAAATGAAAGATTTAGAAATTAATGAAAGAGAGGAAAATAAAGAAAACATTTAAAAAATAAATGAAGATTATAAAAGAAGGAAAGACGAACAACAAAGGAAACATGAAAATTAAATGAAAATTAAATGAAAATTAAATAAATAAATGGAGATTTTGAAAGGAAGGAAAAAAAGAAAGTAAAGATAGAAATGAATGTTTCAGAAGTGAATGAAATAGAGAAAAACGAAAACAGCATCAGAAAAATAAATAAATAAATGAAGGTTCTAAAAGAAAGGAAAGAAGAAACGGAATAAAGAAAAATGAAGCAACCATTTGAAAAATAAATAAATGAAAATTATAAAAAGAAGGAAAGAAAAAATGGAAGATAAAAAGCAAAAATTTAAAAATGAATGGAATATAGAAAAATGAATAACTTTTTTTAATGAATAAATGAAGGTTAAAAGGAATGAGAATGTAGTAGAATTTATAAAACAATGAATGAAGAACAGAAAAAGAAAAACGAAAAAGACAAAAGAATATGTGAAGATAAAACAAATTGAGGAGAACGAATAGAGATGAAACAAAAGATATAAGACAGCAGAAAGCAAACGAAACAAAGAAAAATTGATGGATCCAAAGGCAAAAGAAAATAATGAAATATACTGTGAAAATATCGCAAAGAACTCGAATGACACACGAAAGAATTATTTTAGATAAAAGGACCGGAAACCAAAATGAATTCCGTGGATTAACGAGGTAAAAGAAATGTTACCTTCAACCGCGACTGATAAATAAATAAAAAATGTACAAAAAATATAAATAATGGAAAATAAAAGATAACTAAACATTTTTAAAGAAGAAGAAGCAAATATTCTTGTTAGACCGGATAAACGAGAAAATAACTATTTTTATGATTGTGGCTTGGTTGTTAATATTTTGAGACACTTTTTTCTGATTTCATTTTGAGCATCTGAATAATATCTACGATTCGAGTAACTTTCTGAATTCGACAGCTTCTTCTAATTTCCACTTGTTTCGTAACACGTTTTTATCTTAGTTTTCTTTCTTGTTTTTTTTTTAGACTTAAACCATTTCCACGTTCTTTCTCTTCCATTTCCTTCTAATATTCCTTATATGCTTATTCGAGCCAGCAGCATCAACTTGATTGTTATGCTCACAACATTTCGGTCTTTTTACCATCTAGTCTTTCTCGAATTTCTCTCTTCGCACTCGTTAACCATCTTGAAATTTCGAACCGAATTCTTTATTCAATCCAAGGGTGGAGGTAGATTTTTCTAATTCTTGTTCCCATGATGCTTGGATATTTTTCGTCAGAATTCTCTGTTCATATTGACACTTGCGCCACCTCTTTGTTTTATCAATAAGAGTACTTGACGTTTTAGCACAACCAGGGATTGAAACCGCAAGTGCCAGGTAAGCTGCTATGCATTAACCAGCGATTTAATTTACTCTACCATGTGTTAAGAGATGTTAATGTTGTAGCACTTGGAAAGAAATCTGATAGGAAATAACAACTAAGTCATGAGAAGTATCTACAACCATAAATTCAGTAAAGGATTTCTATCGAATTTCCATCTTTACAAATTACAACAAAATTATATATGAAGAAGGCCCGGTTGAGATTGTTGCTAAGTAATTAGATATGATTCCCAACTCATCTCCATTGCCATGTGCTTCAAGCTAAAGTAAAATCCTCTCGAAACTCGGCCATCTTCGAGTACTCCCGCTTATGAAGAAATATGCATAATGCGACATTTTATAGTAAAGAGCGAACTGCCAAGTAATTCTGCGTGAGTGGGCGAGTTATTTACTTTTTTTTTTTTACATTTGTAACATTCAGTGGAGTAACGGTAATTATCATCGATACTCCAGCACTTTCCTCGGTATTTTAGCTAATTCGGTCTTTCTTTTAATATTGCTGCTATATGAGGTTTGATGCTTCTTATATATATTAAAGATTCTTGATAGTCGAAAGAAGAATCTGCAATGTTACTCGTACTGACCTGGTATATCGGCTTCATTAATTTTCCTACCGCCATAACGTTGCTTTCGTGTTTCTTTTCTGTAAATACTATCATGATAATTGTTATAGAAAAAATGAAGATCAGGAATTAAAATAATGATAATGTTTGTGCGAATAAGATAAATTCCCATCCAAATAATCCCGATAAAATGTTCTTTTAATTATTATAATTATTTCAATTTCAGTTCATTTTTGTTAATTCTCATAATTTTGTATCAAGTTTAATAGGAGTAGATAGGTTTGCCTATCGTCCGGTTCACACTCCTCCCTGTTATTTTGAACAAAAGCAGAGGTTTCTCCCTTGGCTTCTGTATAGGATTGGCTTTCTGTTACTTTCTGAAATGTAATTCGATTCTATACTTCTAACTATACTTTCATTTACTAATTAAGTCTTGACATAATTAATTCTAATATTAGGTGTTATCTTTCCTGCATGGCCACAAGAATTTCACTTCTTGTCCTTTTTTGCACTAATACAACTTCACACAGTAACCCTCTACCTTGATCGGCTCTTAGGCCTTGTACTGGGTAAACATTAATAAAAAATACACCATTATCTTATTTAAGAGACTTCTCATCTTCCACTTTTTTGTAGATTTTCACATGATTGTTAAAGAGTGATGGAGCACCATGCCAACAAAATAACGCTGGAATGAAAATACACGAAACTTAGTATACCCCTCATGACACCAAGTCATATAGCTATACACCAAGCACATGCATCACAAGCGAATGTACGCGATACGATGAGGAATTCTGATAAAAGCTGCAGTTGGGATTTGTCAGGTCCAGTAGCCCTGCTCATTTCGACATCTCGGTTACGAGTGTCTCAAGTAACACGTGCTTCAAGCCTAAGTAAAAACCTCTCGAAACCCGGTCATCTTCGAATACTGCTGCTCATGAAGAAAGATGGATAATACGACATTTTATAACAAAGGGGAAAGTGCCAAGCAATTCTGAGTTAGCGAGCTTGTTATGTACTGTGGCCTAGCTTAATTCACCAAAGCAAAACATGTTCATAACAACACCTCCAACTAATTACGTTCAAGAGAGTCATGCTTAGATATGATTCCAAACTCACCTCCATTGCCATGTGCTTCAAACCTAAATAAAATCCTCTCGAAACTTGGCTATCTCCGAGTATTCCCGCTCATGAAGTAATAATGCGACATTCTATAACAAAGAGGGAACTGCCAACTAATTCTGTGATAGTAAGTAGGTTATTTACTCTTTTTACAGTTTTAACTTTCAGTGGAGTAACAGCAATTATCATCGATATTCTAGCACTTTCCTCAGTATTGTAGCTAATTCATTAGTTCTTTGAATATTGCTGCTATATCTGCTTTGGTGCTCCTGCTATATATTAAAAGATTCTTGATAAAATCAGAAGAAGAATCTGCAATGTTATTGGTACTGACATCTTGTATTGGCTTCATTCCCTTTCCCACCGCCATAACGTGGATTACTTCTCTTTAAATCCGCATGATAATTGTTCTCATGAATTATCTAACATGGCACCAGAGACTTAATGAAGTTAAGCGCAGTACTAAATTGGCGACACTGTCACGTCATTTTACCGTTGAAATGGTTACAGGTAACCGTAAGTTCTATGATAACAGTTTCTTCTATCGTACATCTCGCTTGTGGAACACTTTTCCATCTTCTTGCTTTCATGTCAACTTGATCTTTAAAAATTTAATGGCAATGTAAATCATTATCTTCTTTATTCTTGTACTTTAATTGTCCTTTTTCATTAATAGCAATTTCTTTTCATATTCTCTAACACTCAGTAACCCTTTGCGTCTTAATGGCTTTATTGTCTTGTTTGGGGTGAAATGATTAACAAAAATATTGTGGTATTCTGATGTTCGAATGATTTGAATTGTTCATCTGATTTCCAATTCTTACAAATTACTGGCGAGTCCTCCAGAACAGCTTCAATTTCATTAATAAAGGCAGGTACAGTTGCTGTTTTCAGAACTGTATATATTTTTCTCAATTTCAACCACTTCCAATTTCAATCTGTGGTTTACTCTCAGAGAAGCATCAACACTCTGACTAAATATCTTCATCTATTTCAGGATTATCTGAGTAATTTAAGTAAAATAAATATGACGTGTTTCATAATGCAGGGTATATTTTAGACTGTGCGGATAATGTCACGCCTGGTAAAATTCTAGTATTTTGTCAGTGGCTCTTTCTCCTATATAACCTATCTTTGCATACTGTGTTACCCTTTCTTAAAATAGGTTTGACTTTTTCATTTCATGGTATTTCGTTTTCAAATAGATGTCTGACATTATAAGCGTTCTTCATCAAATCGTACGACCTCAAACAGATAGAAACTTTCGTAGGATATTTGCCAAGACAAGAGACTCAGACTTCT